TGGGGTTTCCCATTTTGCGAAGTCCACAGGCTCTAATACACCTTGTTTAATTAATTTGTCAAGCTCCATGTCTAATTTGGGGCGGATTGCAAAAGGTAACCTTCAAGGCTTTAAACAGATTGGTACTGCCTGAGGGTCCAAGTTGAAAGATATTGGGGTTCCTGAATAACAGCCCAGCGCCTCGCTGAACACATCAGCATAGTCATTAAACAAGGTGTCCACTTCAGCATTTGTAATAGAGTGGATTCCGCTTATATGGAGGCCAAGGGCAGGGAACCAGTCTAACCCCAACAGGCTAGGGAGGGCACCATCCACTACTACTAAAGGCAAGTGACCTTTAAAATTTTGAAATTGTACAAAAAACTTGCCTTTTCCGATGACTGGGATGGTTCTGCCTTGGTAGTCGCGTAGGGTTAACTGGCAGCCGTGAAGCTTCTTCTTAGCCATTCTGGGAAGTAGTTGTTTCAAGGTGCTCCATGAGATGATGGACAGTGCTGAGCCTGTGTCAACCTCCATCCTGCAAGGTTTTCCTTCTATAGAAACAAAAACACTAATTTTGTTAGAGCCTTTGTTAGTCAGCTTGGCTTGATAGAACAGTCTGCAACTTGTTTTTGGAAATGTTGGGTTGTCTGAGGCTTTGGGGCAAAAGTCTTTCCTGCTTAACAGACCCTGGCTAAATGACCCTTCCTTTGGCATTTTAAACAAATGGCATCCCTAAACTTGCAGGATGCCCTGAGGTGGTTTCCCCCACAGCTTAGACAAATGGGCTGATGCCATGGAGGTAGGTTGGGGTTTGGCCTGTTTTCCCCTTGACTGGTTTTTTGCTGCCTGAGGCGATTTACATCATTAGCCTCTTCATAGCCTTCTTCTGAGGAGGCTTCATCGTAATGGATGGCTGAGCTACCCTGGCTAATTGGATTTCCCTGAATTTCTGCTGCTGAAAGTGCTGATAGTTCAGCAGCTTGAGACTCTTCAATTGCTAATTTAAGGGTTAAATCCCTTTTAGCCAATAGACGCCTTTGTAGCCTTAAATCCCTGACTCCACAAACTAGTTGGTCTAATAACATGTCTTCCAGATAGTCTCTAAACCCACAATGCAAGGCAGCTGTTCGTAGGGCAGCCATGTACCCACTAATAGTCTCTCCCTCAGCCTGAATCCGTCTCCTAAAAGCATGATGCCTGGCAATTTGGGATGGCTTAGGGGAATAGTGGTTGGAAAGAATTTCCTGCAATTCTTCCCATGGAACAGTCTTAATTGAACATGGAGCCAATAATGCCGTAGCAGTGTCAAACGCTGTGGCTCCACAAAAACTTAAAAAGTAGGACTTTTTCCTATGATCGGAATGTCAGCAAGGTCTATGGCATCTAGGAAACAGTCAAATCAGTTTCTGTAGGACTCCCATGTTTCCGCTGTCGGTCTGAAAGGCAGGAATGCAGGGTTCGAAGTCATCTTGACTCAGCGGTGCTGGATCTTTCGAGGAAAGTTGAAATTCGTGCTTGTGACATTCAGCTCGGTAGTGACTTCGGCTCTTTTTGTAGTGACTTCGCTCAGCGATTCATTTCCCGGTTGCCTCTTATAGGAATCCTGCCCTCGTCGCCAGTGTTGTGGAGCAGCAGAATAACCTGAGGCAAACACGGAGCGAACTTCAGCTTTTACTTTATTGTAACAATAAAGGGTTGCCGCAACTGCCGCACTAACAAGGCAGCCAGCTGGCGGACAACAGCTGATGCCGTTTGACAGCTCCCTTTTATAGCCGGCTGTCAAACAGCATCAGCCAATAGGAACGGTCCGTGTTCCCACTAGAAACACGAACCAGAGTGAAAACTTCAGCTCAGTCTTTTCCAAACGCCACAAGAAGATCTTGTCAGTGGTGATGAATTGTGTTCTTCCTGAACTTAGGCATAAATACCATTGAAGGTGAGGCCTCCAAATTTATTTCACTTGTGAGCTCTGCCACATTTAAAGGAAAAACTCTGAAGGCACTCCTCCTAAAAATTAACCCATTGTCTTTCTGTTTTCCAGTGCACAATTATTTGATCCCTTGAAAGATATAAATGTGAATTTTAATAAAACTATTTAGTATGTAATTGATTATAACAAAGTGGTGGTGGTGACAATATGATTTTAAGTGATGATGGCTCTTGTGAAGTACTTGCAAGCTCAGTACGAGGGCTCAGTAATTCAAAGACCATTTAATTACAATAGAGACAATAATTCTGACTTTAATTGTGCATCTAAAGAATGAGGCATGAATCTCAAGCTGTAGATTTTGATATGCTGGAGGGTCAGTTCACAGTTCTGTGAGTTTCCAAGCATAAAATATCAGACAGTTCTCAGGGATCCAGGCTGTATATATGCACATTGCTCTAATGCAGAGAAACTTACTCAACTTCTCAGGTGTACTTCTTTCCTATTTATGTTCCCAGGTGCTTCCTTCTAGGCAGGTATGGGGAAAAGAACTGGGAGCAAGTGTTACAACTATTGTCTCCTGCTATCTCACAAAGTATATCAGAGAGCTGATATGCTTCGTGGGATAGCAGGAGACAATAGTTGTAACATTTCTGTAGTTGTAATTGTTGTATAGTTGTAACTGTTCCACCCAGTTACCATTTTTATTTCTCATTTCCCTGCTATTCCTCCATGCTTGCTCATTTGATTCAGTTTTATTTAATGATTAACGCACCAGGCTAGAAACTAGGAGACTGTGAGTTCTCATCCTGCATTAGGCATGGAACTCAGTGGGTGAATTTGGGTCAGTCATGCCTTCTCAGCCCAAATCAACTCACAGGATTGTTGTTGTGTGGAAAATAGGAGGAGGAAGGTATGTTAAGAATGCCACCTTTTATTATTTATATAAAGGAATTAAAACATCTATAATAAAATTAAAATAATAACATAAATGCTATCTGCTGTCTCCTCTGGCTTGCCAGTGGAGTGGGTGTAAAAAGCATCAACAAGTTAATATCTCATATCATCACCATTACTTCTCTAGATTTTGTGGTAAAAGGAAAAGAAAATAGCTATTTATGCAGCAGCTGGCCTTCAGATAACTGAGCAACCAAAAAAAGATGTTGTGAAGGCATACTTGTTGGCCTTGGTTTGTACCTTGGTTTCATGGGGAGCAGTAATGCAGAAGAGCAGAAAGATAGGAAGTTCACCGATAGGAAACAACCCACATTGTATCTCTGGGGAAAACACTGGAAAACTGTCTCCAGTCTATTCTCTAAAGCAAAGGTTCAGCTTATATTGCAAAAATGTGTGCACACCTGATATCAACACAGAGAGATGGGTTGTACACCAATCCAGTTTGGGAGAAGATTACATGTAAAAGAAGCCAGAAGAGGAGCAATTAGCAAGAGAATTTCATAGTAATTTTTGCAGCCAAGAATGTGATCATCTTAGTACTACAAAATATATCTGTCAAGCCCGAAACTGACCTATGTGTAGACATTTTAGTTAGGCTTAGTATATATTCTTTTTCTTACTTTCTCTGTGGCAGTCATGGGGGAAGGGTTTTGGGCTTGCCACATTCCTAAGGAGGGAGGAATGGAGATAGGGAGAGTTGTTTAGGCTAGGTAATTTTTCTTCCCGTGGGAAAATGAGCTGACCATGTTCAGGTCCCTTGAGGTGGAGATTCATACCTTTTTAAATGGATTTCATCACTTGGAAACCTAACATTTTATTCTCTGCTCAAGTTTATCAATAATAGAGATTTTGCCATGAAATCTGTCTTTATGTATGTGTGTGTACATATATAAAAGTTATAAGTAATCTCATTTGTGGTTTTCTATAAGCAGCTTTCTGGGATTTAAATAAATGCATTGTAAATAAAAAAGCAAAATGGAATCCATACAAATCACTTTAAGCAGCAAAGAGATGAAAAATTACAATTGCAATTTAAATTGAAACCAAGAGCAGTTCTAAATATGAAGTGTCGTACAGACATCTCAGGATTCTAATTGTTGTCAATTTTAGGAATATGAATACATTTTGATTTTGTGTTGTTAAACAATAGGCACTCCTCTGAAATTTTGCAATATTTTAATTACACACACACACACACACACACACACACAAATATTTCAAGGAGGATGTTGTGTGCAAAAATATGCTATCACAGAAGAATTTGTGGCTAACTCTAGGGCCAATTCACACCATATCCAAAGACAGTCCTGCTTTTGCTAGAAAATAGACATCAGCAGGTAATGTGAACTGCAATAATATAGAGAGAACACATACTAACTTCTTTTAGAAAGTAAAAGTAGCTCTTTCTTTATGTTTTCAAAAGGCTTAAAAATACTGTAAGATTGCAAAAATCTATGGGAGACCCAATAGAATTGAATAAAATAAATGCAAGAATGGTACTGAAAAAATGTATGTCCCATTCTAACTTCTTATTTTCTACTCTTAAAAACAATTTAAATATAGGCACATCTATTTTTCACATAAGCTGATTTCCTGATTTTTTTTTCTCCCATAAACATAACCCTGTCATGAAACAACTTTTGGTTAAAGGACAAAAAAAAATTCATAGTGCTATTGAAATTTGTTAAATTTAACTCTGGATATGATAAAAAAAAACAGAGATCATTCACTTCACAAGTTTAAGTCTAAGCAACTCTTAGTTTTCAGCATATGCCTGGTCTTGTTTATTCAGCAGTAAATCCACTTAGGGAAACTGATCACTAGCAAGGCATATACAATATAATGTTGCAATCTTGGTAGACCAAAAGAAAAGAAAATGTTCTGAATAAATTCTTCCTAGCAGGCAATTAAGAAAAGATGCAATTTTAATGTTATAGTAAAAAAAATTACATATATGTATATGTGTTGTCTAATGATTTTTACTGTTTGTGTAGTAATTCAAGAAATGTAAAATGTGTATGGGTGTCTTTGTGTCTGAGAGGAGATGCCCATTTAAAGAGGTTACCTTTTTCCTCTCAAGTTCAACAATAAATACCTTGAATGTTTATTTTTCCTGGCTTTCTGTCTCTTGCAGCCATGCATATGCTTGGTCTAAATTGGCAGCTACAACCAGCAGATGGACACACCTTTAACAATGGAATAAGGACAGGCTTGCCAGGTTCTGATGATGTAGCAACCATGCCATCTGGAGGTAAAGGTGAGGACACAGCTGTATCTTTTGCTCTGGAAAAATCAATTGCCCCTGTGTTCCAACAAATTTAAAATAATCACATTTTATTGGAGCACATTAGAAATAGAACCTAGTCATTTGAAGGATTTGATTGAAACAATTCTTTGTTTTGAAGTTTTCCTGGTTGGGTAGTTTATTTTCAGGGCAAGTTTGGCTACAATCCTGCTTAATTGTAACTGTTTGGAAAAGAGTCTTATTTTGAATACTATCTTCCAACAAAGAGATTCAGAGGATTTTTTCACAATGATCATTGATCATTGAGGATTTTTTCACATTGATCAAATCCAGCTACCTATGCCTCCTTTTAGAAGAAAGAGATTAGGTCTTCCTTTCCTTCATCCCTATGTGAAAACTAAGGAAAACAGGGATTTTACAAGAAAGCAGAATAATAGTTTTTGAATCAGTCAGTACTTTTCAAATGAGATGGCAGATTTTTTATTTTATTTTTAAAACTATATCAGGACTTTTAAATAAATGGAAATATTAGTTGGACCTAGTGTTTAAGGCTCCAAGATAGAAACTAGGAGATCAAATTCTTGTCCCATCCAAGGCATGAAAGCCTGGATCAGCCATTCTCTCTCAACTTCAGACAACAGGTTTGGGTGACCATCTGATTAGCCAATACCTGTCTCAACAAATGGATCAACATTTGGTTGATTTTTAAAAAGTGGATACTGCACTTGTGGGACAGAAGTTTCATTTACAGTGATCAAGGCTGAAAGGTCATAGGTTGAACTTCTGCCTAAAGATACTTGAAGGAGAAAAAGAGAGGAAACAAATATTCAGCAAAGATGTGGATTTCAGACCTTGTGAATGTGAATAATTTGTTCATTTCACTAAGTAGCAGGGTAAATAAAACCTTTGGAAAATATTACAGTGGAATCCATATGTCTCAATTGTGATAAAAACAAACTAGGTCCCAAAAGTGGAGGCATGGTAGCAGAAGAAAGTGTGAAATGTTGCTGATTTTTTTTCTTCTTGCTTCAATTTATTTAAGGCTAATATTATCAAGATAGCCGTTTTTAAGATGGCTTCTATCAAACTTTAGGCCCATCAGCTATTTCAGACTTTGCTTTTTTTGGCCGGGCAAAATGATCTGTCATAAGTGATAGAGTCCAGGAGGAGGAAGTGCTCAAAAATTAGTTTTGTAAAAATAATAATAGGGAGTCATACCCATATGTTTACCTCAGAAATATGTGTATTGCAATAAAGCTGATTTTTGCAGAATGCCATGTAGAATGGAACAATCTAGTTAGGTGTGCACATTTAGCTATGAATTATCACATTGAAAAACAGTAATTTAAAAACAGCAAATATGAATAAATATAATAGGTGAATCTGTGTGTATGAATGTATCACCAAGCATGCTAAAATCTGATTCACTAAAGAATCACAGTCATCATTTTGCTTGAGTAAATTATATATTACCCCTTGGGACTGGTGTGTAAACAGGAATTATATTTGGCAGTACTCAGGAGACGGGCCATTTCTGCTGTGGGACTTGCTCATCATCCCTGGAGGTGAGGATGGCCCATGTTTGGTAGCTCCTGGGAGTACCTAAAATTGTGGCTATGCCAACAGGCTTGGGTATATCAAGGAAACAAATGTGTTGAGATAGCTATGGGTTGAGTATGTAACACTAAAGGTACTCTCTTCTTGTCTTTTTAAAATAAGATTGATGTCTTATTATGGAATGTTTTCATGTTTGTTTTATTATTTATTTTCATTGTACGTCACCCAGAATCATGTTCTGTGTGATATATGGCTATATATAAGTGAGGAATAAATAAGCAAACTTTGGGGAGATAAAATTTCTCAGATAGGAAAGTAATTTTGCATTACATATTGTGTTTGTATTTCTCTATATAACCTAGGAAATTATGGTTAATTTTTTTAATGTACCTATAAGAAGCACAGAGTTAAATACAAAGAACCAACAACACTGACCTTTATTTTAATTGATGGTTCACATCTTCCTGTGGTTTACAGTCTTGACAAGTTTTGGCACTACTATCACTATGCAGATAGATATCTGTAAAATATTAAGAAGTGATTTCTAAATGTGGTTCCCAAGTTTGAAAAGGTTAAAACTACAGGTCTGCAAATAACCAAAATAGAATAATCAGCAGGAAGGGAACATATTTTCAAAAATATAGTTAAAGCTCATTTTTAGGTTAATTATTTTAAAATGATTATTTTAAAAATCTTTCTTTTTTATTGTAAATCTATAAGTAGATTCATAAATGGATCAGATGACAGCAGGCAACATACATTGGCAACATCCACAGGAAAATTTTCTAGTTCACAGTTTTGATGCCAAGATCATTTAATTTCTAAAAATGTCCAGCATTTCACACATACCAACTTCCTAAAAACTGTTAAAATGCTATCTTCAATTTATGTTGAAAATAATCAGAAAGGTATTATAAAACATAAATGTAAAATATACGATGCAAGCATCTAGAGAATAAGCAAAGAAAATATTGAATTAGTTGGTTTTAATGTCACATCTAACCATGGTTTATTTTATTTAAAATTTGATAAATAAACTGGATTCACATTATGTACTAATCTATAATCAAATCAACATTATGGCTGGATGTTAGCCCTTCTCCTCCTGTTTTATGATGCATAAAATAGAAACCCACAACATTTCAAATCCTGTAAATCTACTTCACTTACCAACTTGCTAAATTTAGTCCTGTTTTTAGATTACTTTCAATCAATATACACAATATTTTGTTGGATGGTTCACCTTATTAAATGATTTACTGAGTAAATTACATTTTGGAGTCCATAAAAATGCAGAGCAAAATATGAATTCATATGGGACTGAAAAGTGATCAGGCTTTTGAATTTTTGAGCACTATGCTTTCAAGATAGTTATGACAAAACTACAATTATTAATCCATATTATTTTATTAGTATATTACTTTTGGCTTGCAAAGAGTATATATTTTCTTTATTCATGTTGCATGTTATTCAGGGGTGGGATTCTACTGGTTCAGTCCAGATCGGTAGAACTGGTTGTTATGATTCTCCGCAGTTTGGAGAACTGGTAAATTGGGTCTGTGGCTGGCTCTGTCCCTCTCTGCCTGCTTCTCCACTACCTGCCTATCAGTCCTTATCATGCATGCTGCTGCAACACTGCTGCTGCAGCCTGCTCTTGCACGCCTGCCAGACCAGCCATTGCTGCCTGCCTTCTGCTGCGGCCCTGCCTTTACTGATCTCCCTGGGAGAGTAAGGCTCTGCAAGCCCTGGTCGCCTTCTCCCCACTTGTCTTTTGCCACTACTGCCGGTCACCTTTCCCCTCCCACTTGCCTTTTGCTGCCACTGCCGGTTGCCTTCCCCCCACTTGCCTTTTGCTACTGCTGCTGGTCACCTTTCCCCCACCATTTGCCTTCTGCTGGGGAACACGTGGAGAGGCTTGTATAGGCTCCGGCCAGGTCAGCAACTGCTTCTCTCACCTGCTGCTGCATAGCGGAAAGCTTCCAAGTCCCCCTCCCATTAGAAACAGCTCCTGAGCAAGCAGAGAAGCAAGTCAGGTTGAATCCTGTTTATCTCTGCTTGCCTGGGAGCCATTTCCGATGGGGGGGGACCTGGAAGCTTTCCATTGTGCTGGAAAACTCTTGCTCTTCCAAAAACAGCCACAGGTGATAGAAGCTGCCGCTAACCTGGCTGGAGCCTACATGAGCCTCTCCACTTGTTCCTTCCTGCTGCTGTTGATGGGAGAGCAAGAGTTTCCCAGCACAGCAGAAAGCTTCCAAGTCCCCCTCCCATTAGAAACGGCTCCGGGGCAAGCAGAAAAGCAAGCCAGGTTGAATCCTGCTTCTCTCTGATTGTCCGGGAGCTGTTTCAGATGTGGGGTGACTTGGAAGCTTTCCGCTGTGTTGGGAAACTCTTGCTCTCCTAAAAACAGCAGCAGGAAAAAAAACACGTGGAGAGGCTCATGTAAGCAAGGCGCTGAGGACAGCTGACAGCAGCTGCGGGGAGCAGAGCCTGGAAGCCCTGATGCACCACGTGTGTGGCCACATGGATGGCGAGAGGAGGACTGATCTCAGAGGCCCCAATGCCACTGGAATTGCCACCTCGCTGCTGCTGCATCCCCCACCCCCTGCAGGTATGGTGAGCATGAGCCCCAGGATGGGTGACTGACCGCCTCAACTGTTGCTCCCACTAACTGTTTTCCATGCCAAGAGTGGAGGCGAGAGAGAGAAAAAACCATCTTAGTGTGAAGAAAAGTTGCGCGTCTCCCCATATTTCTCTCTCCGCTAGTAGCCGCTCGCAGCACCTTTAAACATAGCATGCTTTACAAATGAGGAGGAGGGGATGAGGCTGTTCGCAGAGATAGGAATATGGGGTGACACACAACTTTTCTTCGTGCTGAGCTGCTCTTGCCAGTGACTCCAGACTGTTTTTCTAAGACTAGATTAGGGGTTCCCAAACTTGGCAACTTTAAGACTTGTGGACTTCAATTCACAGACTTACTCAGCCGGCGTTGCACACACACACACAAAATCATTGACCATTTTGAATACATAGCAGAAAGGAAGAAAGAGTATTGGATACATATACACAAATGTGTGTGAAAAAAACTGCAAAGAAATAGGATTATAAAAAAACAGCTTCCAATCTTAGCAGTTATAGATGAGAGAGAGAGAAAGAGAAATGAGAAACAGAGAGGGAGAAAGAAAAAGAGAGATAAGAAAGAAAGAGAAAGATGAGAGAGAGAGAGATGAGAAAGAGAGGGAGAAAGAAAGAAAGAATGACAGAGACAGACATACCTGTTTAAAAGAAAATAGAAAAATGGCTCTTTGAGTGTTTAAGGTTGAGGACCCCTGGGTTAAGCAAACACCATGGTCGTTAAGTGAACATTTGTGGTCATTAAGCAAACACTGGTTGTAAAACAAGTCCATTTTCGCCAATGGGCATCTTTAACTGAAAACCAGAAGGACTTGTTGGAAACT